GCAACGAAAACAAGAATAGGGATGTCGACAGGTATACCATCGTTCGAGCATGCATTAGCACTAATGATGACATGTTATAACTCAGCAACATCATCAAGTCTACAGTGATAAACTCCCTCAGTAAACTCGGGTCTCCCAGATCAGGGTTTTTGAATGCAACAGTGGTTCCCAAAAACTCTATAGGTGATTCGATACACGTTAGCTAGCTAGTCATTTACTGAAATCCGATGGGAACGTAAGAACACTGTCCAACATACCGTATTCTGAGCGCAACCTCATCCGGAACATCCATAAAGAATCTTGCGAGATTTTCCGCAGAAATATAATTGTGCAAGGTGTACCGGAAAACACCGACCCTAGTCAAGCAAACTTTTATATTAGGGAATGGAAATTCCTCAAGCAGTCCTTGAGGCTCAAAAATATACGGACTTAACATGTGGCGAGACTAACCAAGAAGGACGGTGATTCTAGACCCCGGCTAATGAGGATAACTTTCCCATCCTCCCATATGGCCGCTGCGAATCCGGAAGTATTTCGTGCCAACGGACGTCGGTCGCTAACTGGAATCCGTGCGCTCCCGGATAGGCCACATGACGCCAGGGTCAAGCACAAAGGCAAGTTGGAGCTGACCATTCAACTTGTGGACTGTCTCGATCATTAAAAAAAACGTGTAAAGGACAGGGCCTACCAACTCTGCAAACCTTATATAGGTGGGCTACTTGTCCATTCACGTGAGGTTCATACAAGCAAACAGGAAGAAGCTCACACGTTTCAAATTGAAAGCATAAACTGCTTATACATGAACGTCGGGGGTCTACTAAATAAAATGGATGAGCTACGTGAACTTGGCAATGCTAACAAGGCTCATCTGATAGGAATATCTGAAACTTGGATATCTTCTCAGTTTGCGGACTAGGAGCTAGCAATACCTGTGATGTCTTTGTTTCCCAATGACAGAAAAACAGGGATTGGGGTGGAGTAGCCGTATACATACGATCTTGCTTGGAGGTACACTAAGCCCATAACTATGAGTTCAACAATCTTGATGAGTCTGCATGGTGCTCGGTAAGATTGTTTACTACTTTGATGTGCCTAGTCGGGGTCATCTATAGGAAGCCCACTGCCGACAGTCATGTGCTGGAAGGACTATCCCTCTCTACGCGTCTCGGCTTCACTCATATCCTGATTCTAGGGGACTTCAATCTCCCTAGAGTCAATTTCGCGGAACATACGTATAATAGAAGTGAAAACTCAACTGAAGCTCGGTTCTTCAACCTCATTGAGGATTTGGGATTATACGAATATGTGAAGTCGGCAACTCGTTGGAGAAACAGTTAGATACCGTCGCGCCTAGACTAAGTATTTACAAACGAAGAATTTCTAGTTGACAACCTCTCAATCCTGGCTCCCCTGGGGAAAAGCGATCATGCCGTTTTAGCCTTCAGGTTTGTCAGAAAAACCGAGCTATGATCTCCAGCCAACATCAGGCGCTGGAATTTCAAACGATTGGATGTGTCAGCTCTACAGGACTGTCTACAACAGGTGGACGGGGGTGTTCACCCTCACCTTGTTATGAACGCTCATTGGGATTTCTTACTGCACACGCTCTTATGTGCTAAAAAGCAGTCAGTTCCTCAAACGGTCATGAATAACTACAAGCAACCTACAAACATCAAGAACCACACTCTTCGCCTGCTAAGCCGCAAAAGGCACTGTTGGGCAGAATACAAACGAACTGATAACAACGGCACGAACAGGCAATGCAAACATATAAGGAATATATGCACGAAAGCTATAAAGGATGACAGGCTTCAGTACCAGATCACGCATATGGATAAATTTGTCTCCAATCTGAAAAAGCTTATTCCGTTATTCAGCCTCTCTTCGTCAAGCCAAAACTGGGGTTTCCCACTGCTAAGTCCTAATGGCCCGACCAATAGCGACGGCGACGCCGCTAACCTTTTGGCTGAACAATACTTTTGGACATTTCAACAGATCCACATCAACTATACCGATGACAGCTTCATGTGCAACTGCACAGGACTTTCCGTGGTGAACCTGAACGCTGACGTAGTGTTCCGGAAACTGCAACACCCAAGAAAAGACACTTCTCCTGGCCCAGATATGGTTCATTCTGCTATACTGTGGGAAGCAGCCTCAATTCTGGCAACACTCGCTAAGCCGAGGCAAACTACCGGAAAATTGGAAGCTGGCTCACACTACACCACTTTTCAAAGGAGGTCGACGCAGAGAACCTTCAAGTTACCGACCGGCGGCTTTCCTCTCTATACATTCAAAAATCATTGAGTCCCTGATATGCAATGGTATACATGACTATTTACTGTCCTTAAATTTCTTCTCACCCCAACAGCACGGTTTCAGGAAGGGTTACTCTTGTATAACCAACCTGCTGACTTCGGTGGACAGATGGACAACCATTAGATGGTGGTTGGAGGTAGTCGACAGGAAACCCTGGACCCGGCTTTCGTGCTACTTGACACTCGTCACCAAGGTGTACCTGTAATCCTGAGGGAACTGATGTTCCAACCACCGTCTAATCTCAATATATAGTGCCCGCAATGTCGAGTCACCTAGACTAGTGGCCACATTGCAACATGATCGATAGCATTCGATCTGCACTCAATAAGGACTTGACACACATGACATTGATCACCACCTAGTGATCAGTCAATTGAGATGGACAACCATCCTTGATCGCAAGGGGCAGGTTGATATAATTTACCTTGATTTCTCAAAAGCTTTTGACAGGGTCATCCACATATGTCTTATCAATAAGCTCAAACGATTGAGTATCAGACCACATCTGACTGATGGGCTCATTTCATATCTGAAAAGTCGACATTTCAAGGCCAGGGTTAACTTTACTTTATCTTGGGCTATGTAATGTCCTAGTGGGGTCCCCCAGGGCTCAGCACTAGGATTTCTTGTCTTTTTGATTCATATAAATGATCTTTCACAACAGGTAACGTCAGACGTATTACGTTTTGCTGGTGACGTGAAATCTGGAGAGAGATACGCAACCAAGATGATATACTTGCACTTCAGGAAGATTTGATTCGACTTCAAAGTTGGGCAGACGATAGCAGACTTAGCTTTAACACTTCATAGTGTAAAGTAGCTAATCTGCAACATGCTGCAGACTACAGTTACAACAAGTCAAAAAAGATTTAGGGGTCTTGGTGCCTACGATTTGAAGTCCTACGCTAACTGTGACAGAAATGCCTTTCGAGCAAACCTTGCACTGATAACATTGAAGCGAATCCTTGGCCAGTTTGACGGAAGAACTTTCCACATAATCTTTACAGTTTTATTCGTCCCCATTCAGAGTAAGAAAACATAGTACTTCCTCCCTCACTCCAAAACGATAATGTCACTCTGGAGCGTATCCAATGACGCGCCACAAAAGCAGTCCGAGGACTCAAATTCAAACCTTATGAAGAGAGCCTTCAATCATTTAACCTTTACCCATTAGAGTATAGGCGTCTTAGAGGTGACCTTCTGATGGCTTACAGTATCTATAACACTGCTGGGCATCCACTTAAACACCTACTTAAGCTTAGTCTCAACACAAACCTAAGGGGTAACAGACCTAGAAACTAGAGAGACACCACAGCAGAACGGACTGTAGACACAACTTCTACTCTTTAAGAGTTGTCAAATGTTGGAATTCGCTGCCGACTGAACTAGTCCAAACGACTTCCCATGGGTCCTTTGTGAGGAAACTTGACCTATTCTTGAGGACTAAGGGTAACATCTTACTATGAATTACCAATTTATTTTTTTAATCTACTATAGTTAATATACCTAGGTTCCTGCCTGGAGGTTTTGGTGATCCACTGCTAATAAACACGGAAGCCTGTTAAGCGAAAGCTTCTTCTATTCCATCCACAACCATTTGAACCATTTGAACTATTTTGAATCTGCTGACTTGTAAGTTTTTTAATTCGAGTAAACGCATTTTCTCAGGGTATTGCAGTTTCTAGAACTAACATACATTGGACTACCAGGAGATAAGTCAGTTCATTGAAATATGAGAATAGTAAAGTGGTAATTCAAGTGCTAAGAGATGATTATTTCAAGAATAAATTATTAACTTGCCTAACTGATAATGTGTAAGGATGTGAAATCGAAGTAAATGGCGGGTTTTCGCTCTTCGTGTGCAAGTCCTCAGGGTTAACTCAAGGTGTGTGATATTGATATTCCAGTAGGGTGTTCATGTTAGGGTGACTTGAGGTACTTGGAATGTTGAGTACCGTTGTCAGATCACTTCTTATCCTCCTATAACATGTAGCAAGTATTCAACGCCTTGCTTAACATAAGATCTTTTCTTTACAGGAGTGTAATTTGTTAAAGGTATATTGTATAGGGTAGATTTCCGAATCATAATCCTCACTATATCCAAGTGGTCAACAGCTGTTAGCTTACACCACGCTTATGAATATACAACATGCTGAGGGTACCTCCTCGTGATCATATAGACTGGCCTAGTATAAAGAATATAGGGAGCGTTCTCGTCGCTCTCCCCGAAGTACCTCGTTTATGACCACGTTAAATGCCGTCTACGCCAAGGTCAATACTTACCGTTTGTGCTTGGACATGGACATCTTCGACTATTAACTGATCATTTGATGATGGATGGTCTAATTTTGAAGATTTTCTGCCTTTACCTCATCTCGTGGCGTCACCTACATGCTTAGTCTGGTCTAAAATTTTGGTGGTCCGACTATTTGTTTGTGGAACTGTCTTACGTGCGTCGTGTCCCTTGTACTAGAATTTAGAGATAGCCAAAGTAAGAACCGACAACAATCTCCTCTCAGTCCCCCTGAGTTATAAATACCTATAACCATGCCGAAATGACATAAAACGAGTGAAAAGAAATCAACAGGTTTATATGAGCTAGTCACAAATATATTGGATATTAGGCCTATTTAATTGTTGTTGTTGTCATAACAACTAGTAGTGGTTTGTCAACTTTCGTAATGGTAGCATTTTATTAATGACGACTGTTATGTACTAACCTTTCAGGGCTTGTTAAGTCTTTTAAGGAGATTGAAATCCAAACCAGAACAAGAAATAAGAATTCTTCTTCTTGGTTTAGATAATGCAGGAAAGACAACTTTGCTTAAACACTTGGCATCTGAAGATATAACTCAAACAACTCCCACTCAAGTACTTACAAAATTATTTATTATTTTTTCAGGGATTTAACATCAAAAGCGTTCAGTCACAAGGGTTCAAACTAAATGTTTGGGATATTGGAGGACAGCGAAAAATTCGCCCATATTGGAAAAACTACTTTGAAAATACAGATATCTTGGTAATTATTTTTCCTCTTCTTCATGGAATCCTAGATTTATGTGATCGATAGTTCAGATAAAAAGCGCTTTGAGGAAACCGGAGAAGTAAGTTCTGCTTTTTTATGAAAATATCTACATGCAAAAAGGACTACTTTGTTTACGATGGTAAACTTTGCCAATCCCCATTATCCGTTTATATTTTATAGCTTTTTTGTTTATTCACTGATATTCGTCGGTCATCACAAAATTTATTGAACCAGTTACGGGCGATGGTACCTGACTATATAGTCCATAATGAATAACAACTCAAAATTCCTGAAGTAACTGGTAGGAAACTGTAGTTTCACAAACATAGGTAGACGTTTTCATACTCTCTAATCTTGCCTTTGTACCATCCCATAATATGTTGCAGTTTCTCGCCACTAATCTTATGCCATTTTACAAAGTATCATTTCAGTTAATTCGCTAATTTTTTGTCACATTTTTCTGCCCATTTTATTTGGGTACACTCTTACTCTTGTTGCTCTCTTAACCTACATCAATTTAGTCTTACAACCTTTATCTCAACCAACTGGACGAACGCCCTGTAAAATGGCGATTGTTCATTGTAGCCCTGAGATGAATTCATTTACTTAGTATCAAAATATATTAAAATATATAGAATATGAAAATCTGGTCAAGAATAAGTTCTGTTAGATAAACAGTTTAGTTAAGATACCTAATATAGACTTCTCTCAGATAATGAGGTTTCCTTTAATTTTATGAAGAATTTGATTAGAAATCACAACTAGTTTCTGCTCTAGATCAAATCGGACATTTCACATCGTATTGAAACATCATCCTAATAGCTGCAGACTGAATATGCCAGTAAATAATTTCTCATTCTGAGTGGTTTAATGGGTTTCAAGATGCGTTCCCAACGTAGCTAGTATTGATGGGTCTAATTGGTTTAAGACACATAGTCAAGCATCCATACCACTTCATAATACGTTACTGCGTTCATACTATTTTCAGCTCCCGGAAAACCTGAATGCACTATACTAATTATTGATATCGTCCACTTAGTAACGATCTATGTGATTAATGGTTATCCTCTGAGTATAGTTTTCAAAGAAGCCTAATATTAGTGTTGCTTAATTGCTCCTCATAATACGGCTTTCTATTAAATCCAAGCACTTTGAATGACTGAGCAATAATCCATAAGCACTGGTGATCACTTACAAACGACAGCAATAGGTAGCCTTCGGAAACTATAGACCAATTTTAAGTGGAATAAAGAAAAAAAGTGGTTTTCCAACATATCATGTTTTAGATAGATATTGAACTTTTATTGGTATAAAATACAAGCAAACTGATGCACCTTATTTGAACTTTTGGCACAAAAGACCGGCTACTTGATGTACAAAGTGCAGATTTGTTTACTTGACTTAACTCCTTGTCTTTTATAGTGATGTATAGTGATACTCCTCGGCTAAAAAAGAACTGAAGTAGATGGAAAGTGGCAAAAATCTACGGTTTACTGGTTAAAAACCAAGTGCTTTAGTGATTTAAGTGTATCAGAAAAGGGGATAGATTTTTAACGCTCGTGAATATCCATATAACTATCCAAACAAGATAACTCAGTCCATTTTAGTGACTGACAACTAAATCTTAATTTATTCACAATGTCTTTTATGGTTCAATAAAAGTATTTTGTACAGCTGTGATTCACAGTGTTTTCATTAACTATAAACTTTAATCATGAACAGTTTATCAGGGTGTGTTCAGCATATATTTATTCCCTTGTTCGGGAAAATTCTAATGTTGGAATAGTATGTCTTTTTGTTCATGGCTGATCTATACAGTAAATTTTCCTGACAACAATATCCCACGAGTTATTGGTGGCTAGATTAAAATACTATCCATTGTGTGAATGTATTAAAATCACTTGAATTCGATAGTATTAAATCGGTTTACGTAAATGCGCCTAGTAAGTGGAAATTCAATATCAAAAAACTCTAAACAATTGAAGGTAGATGTGATATCAAGGAGTGTTGCGGCTTTTGAGGTCTATGGGTGATACAAAACCTACTTATATCGCCCATCTACCCTATTCTTTGAATATTTGTTCCTGCTGTTTCTTGTTGATTACTTTGTGTTTCATTTACTGCATATTGTAAGATACCTGAGTCTCATACCAATAATGTTGCTATTGTTTAAAGGTCTACGGAACAGTTAGTTTATTCCAGTGATGAAACAGTATCTAAAACTAACATTGGAGTTGAACTCTCGAAAAAACTTCATCCGTTTATTTAAAAATTAATGAAAGGAAGTAGCTCATGATAGTCTCCTATGCATTCGTAGTACATAAATTTGCCCCCGCAATTTTAATTTCGCTGACAAGTGAGTGATATTTTATTGCTATTTAGTTCTTTACTTAAGTGACTCGATCAGGTGGCTTTATAAATCTTAACTTGTTTCAAGTTAGATAACTTTTTTTGAACCTGAAGTTGAATTGTAAAATTTCCCCAGATAGTGTAAAATCTTTACTATCTGAAACACCGAAGGATCCACGGGAATCCCCTGTTGCTTTTACTACCTCAGATGAGATAAAAATATTTCCTTACAGTGACCGATTATTTGGCCCATTTTTATACTTCTTGTTTCATAGAATGTATTTCCCTCATAGGAACTCTTGGAACTTTTATCAGAAGATAAATTAGCTGGAGTTCCTTTAATAGTGTTCGCCAACAAACAGGACTTGCTCACTGCCGAACCAGCAAACAGAATATCAGATGGGCTTGGATTACTAACTATTCGAGATAGACCATGGCAAATTCAAGGCTGTTCAGCTATAACTGGCAATGGTGTACAAGTAAGCTGAAATATTTGTTTTGAATTTTAGGAGATTGGTTCATTATTTATGAAATATTTCTCTATCAGTATTACTGATGTGCGATACTCAAAGTTTATATATCTGTATGCAAATTTCCGAACTGTAGGTTTGTGTCAATAGTGTATTATCCAAAGACGAAACAATTAAACTATTCTAAGCAAAGGTGGATAGTGACTAGCAGTGAAATCCAGGACGCGCGACACTTCGTCCTATTTGGGACTCATCAACTGGTGTACCTGCATCTCAGAGTTGATGCTCACTTTGATTTTCACACCGCAAAAGCAGGTGGCTATCAGGATTCAGTAGCTAAGTGGATAACATGATATCGTTTGAAGCGAACGGTACTGGATTCGAGTCTCAGAGTAAACATCAACTATGGTATGCAGGTACATCTAGCTGACGAGTCCTAAATAGGACGTAGTGTTGCACATCCAGGATTCCACTGCTATCCACTATCCATCTTTGCTTAGAATGCTTGAGAGTTAAGATAATATCGAGGCAATACACACAGTATGCAAATATACCAATAACATACTGATCGATTGCAGTGCTAAACATCAATGGAAAGATTCAAGTAAACAATACCGAGGGAAATTAAACTATTCATTTCTAAAAATTTAACACCTGTAGATCCCTCTATTGTAGTTACACATCATTTTCCAGTATATCAACATAAAACAATTGCGATAATTAGATCAAAGTTGTTGTATTCATAATTCAAGTTAAGATGACACTGATTTTTATGAATACTGACAATCAGTTATTTGTAACTGTTACGTTCTTGATCTTTCCACCCAGTTTTGGTGCTGAGGACTTGTCTAATCCAGAGATTAAGACTTTGACGCGATAGGGTGGCCGGCTTAACCTTGAGGCTAGTACGCATGAGTTCGAAATGGTGTAGAGAGAAGAAAACTATTCTATCACCTGATTGGCTGACAAGCACGCGAGTGAAAGAAGACAAGTCGACCGGGACACTACTCGATTTATTCTCAATTCCGATTTGGTTCCCAATTTCCCGGTTGCAGATCAGTGTGGAAAAGATACATGAATAAATAGATGACTAACCTGATCTGGCTCCAGGAGTTATCTCACTATGAAATGATGTTTCACATTTAAATGATCAGTTTTCAAGAAAGAAATAACATAAGTTTTAGTGAAACAATATCCATTCAATTATGTCATAGATTCTTTACAGCTGTTTAGACTTTAAATGTCATGTGGTAGTTTTATAAGCAAGATAGGTAGTGGCTAGCAATGAAATCCAGGATGCGCGACAGTATGTTTTATTTGGGACCCGTTAGCTAGATGTACCTGAATCACAGAGTTGATGTTCGCTCCGAGACTCGAACCCAAAAATACCGTTTGCTTCAAACGCCACCGCGTTATTCACTTAGCTAGTGAGTCCTGATAGTCACTTGGTTATGTAATGGGGTGAAGTTTATCTTCACTTAGTATTATTTACTTATATCTTCCCCCTTGTTATTTAAGACTGTAATTGATCAGTCTCTTTTTGGCATATGTGCTTCCAGTGTGGACTGCCTTGAGTCCCGGAGTGAACATCAACTCTGGGATGTATGTACATTCAGCGACTTGGATTCCATTATTAGCTACCATCCATCTTTGCTTAAAAAACTTGTGACTTAAGACAATATCGAGACAATCCGCTCAAGATGCAGATATGTCAACATAAGACTGATGAATTGCAGTCCTTAACAACAATCAGAAGATACAAGCAAGTGAATCATATAGCTAGTTATTCGAACACAGAATGTATTTAAGTTTCTTAGATAATATGAATAGTAGTAAGTTAATAAATGACAATGCATCATCTATAAGTTTGAGTTGTTCTATGATAAATTATTGAATACTATAGACTATCTATCTATCTAAATATCTATCATCTTATAAGTCAATCAACACTGTGAAATGATTCAATACAGCCACATAATGACAATAAAGATTTATGTGAATGTATTTCACACATAAAATAATTAAGTTTTTCAATTGATTTTATTTTGTCATGACAACATGATTATTTCACCGGTTGAAATCATGAGTCAATTGAAGTTAGACCACCATGGAAAACCTGGAAGTGAAATTCCTAAAATCTCCACAGAAAAGCCCTTCTGATAATAATCATCTGCTCACTAGCAACTCACTTCAAGAGATACTCCTTGAGTTCTAATGAGAGACCGTTACTCGTGGAGTTCAATCAGGTCTGTTGTGAGATATCAACTCACTGATGACAATGGTGTACGGTGGCGCAACTTCGTGGATTGGTTGAAGTTAGACATTAACACCATTGAATACCGGTTCAATGGTCTAGTGGTTAAGTGCTCACGCGCGAAAGCAGTAGGTCTTGGGTTCGAATCTCACAGGGGACGAGGTCGTGGGTGCGCACCTCTGAGGAGTCCCATACTGGGACGAGGCGGCAGTCCAGTGCTCCCAGGTTTTCTATGTTAGTCTAGCTTCAATTGACTCATGATTTCAACCAGTGAAATTTCTAAAATCTCCACAAAACATCTTCTGATGACATGATTATTGGTTTACAATTAATCACTTCTTTGTTATCCACTTACTTATTTACTTACTTACGCCTGTTACCCCTAATGGAGCATAGACCACTGACCGGCCTTCCTTTCTAGTTCTATCCAATTCCTTGTTCATTATTCTAATATCTATCTCTATTTCTCAACGTAATATATTCTCTATTGTCTTCCTCTTATCCTTTGACTTTGAGGATTCTAATTAAGGGTTTGCATTATGACATAGTTGAATGTTTTCCTCAATATGTGTTCTATCCACTTTCAGCACTTCATCTTTATATTCAAGTTAAAATTCATAAAGTTCATTCTTATCAATATTATCTATTTTAGGCGTTTTTCTTTTGTTTTTTTTTCTTTTTCTTTTTTTTCTTTCTATTTACGTTTTTCATATGACAACAATTTAGTCAACATATAAAAAAAATATTTCATTAAAATGTATAAAAATTTACTGGATTTTTTTCATAATGAACTCCACTTTGATACCGTTCACTAAAGAGGAAAACAAAATCAATATTGTTTCCTTTCTTTTATGATTCATATTTCATCTTTTCATGTTGCCATGGTAACTATGTTGTAGTCAACACTTAATGTGATTAAATTACTATTATTATTATTATTAATTTAATGATTCGATTAAATTTTTTAGGAAATTTTCCAAAATAATATTTTCTTTCAAAGGTTTAAAGAATCTTTAGAAATTTATGAACAAAAATTTTCATTATTGAATAAAAAAAAAGAATATCAGAAGGGGTTTTGTGGAGATTTTAGAAATTTCACTTATTGAATTCATGAGTCAATTGAAGCTAGACCATCATGGAAAACCTGGGAACACTGGACGGTCGTTTTGTCCTAGTATGGGACTCCTCAGCAGTCACAATTGATTAATCACTGAGTGGCGATCAATGTCATGCGTGTGTAGTCCTTATTAGTGCAGATCGACTGCTATCAACCATGTTGCAATGTGGCTACCAGCCCAGGTGACGCGACACTGCGTGCACCGTTGTGAGATTAGATGGTGGTTAGAGGTATTCAACGGGAAACCCTGGATCCGGGTCTCGTGCTACTTGGCACTCGTCAGCAAGGTGTGCCTGTAATCTTGGGGGAACTGGTGCTCCCTGGTGGATTCGATCTCGTGTCACACAGCTTCAAAGTCAGAGACGTTACCACTGAGCTATTCGAGCCGCGACTGACCTCCTGTGGGACTGAGCTGTAGTCACAATTGATTGATCACTGGGTGGCGATCAATCTCATACGTGTCTAGTCCTTCTATTTTGATTTGGTTTTTTATGATCATGTTTCGAAGGAAAAAAGTTTTTTTTTAAGTCAGTATATATGACAATGAGATTCTAAATCCTACTTATTTATCCTTTATTTCAAAACACTTTTTTTTATTATTTGAACACATAAACACATAGTACAAGAGGGCACCAAATATATATGCGCCACACAATAACAATGTGGTCAGTAGTAGTTGTCATTGATTTGTGTGAGAGCTGTGATGCTGCCCGGACGCCCAAACCAATGCAGGTGGTTCTCTTTGGTTGGGGGGCACGTCGGATTTTTGACCTGAATGGTTAATCACAAGACAATGGGGCAACGTTGTACATGCAATTCCATGGTAGCCGGTGAACAACAATAGGTTCATACGCCTTTTGTTCCTTTAGGATCATAGAGCCCATGTGTTCACATTGCAACTTGGTCGACAGCATTCGATCTGTACTAAGAAGGATCTGACACACATGACACTACTTTGTACATTACTATCGCAGATAATTTGAAGAAAGGTGCTTTGTCGACAAGTACTTACATTTTATATCAATTTCAACTACTCAATCACTAATTATAGCGAATTTATAACTAGCCATATAATTGGACGAAACAAAACGAAAAAAACTGAAAAATGGGCTAAAAATTTTTTAAATATCAGAAGGTGTTTTTGTGGATATTATAGTGATTTCAATAGTTGAGATCATGAGTCAATCGAAGCTAGATCACCATGGAAAACCTAGAAGCACTGGATAGCCGTTCTATTGTGGGAATTCTCAACAGTACACATCCACGATCCTATCTCGTGAGATTCAAACCCGGAACCTTTCGGTCTCGTGCGCAAACGCCTAACATCTAGACCACTAAACCAGTCAAGTATCCAATAGTGTTAATGTCTAACTTCAACTAATCCAAGAAATTGAGCGATAAATTCATCATTTTCTTCAGTATGTTATTATCTCAGAATAGATCTGGTTGAACCCCACCGGTCACTGCTTCTCACTGGAACTCCAGGAAATAAATCTTGAAGCTAGTCATTAGTTAGCATATATATAAAATAATGATATTCATCATTCTTCATTGTTTATCTATTTTTAAATCCATATATACTTATAAGTAATATAATTTGTTTCTATTAAATTTTATTGTTTTTTTTTATAGGAAGGAATAGAATGGGTGATAAAATCAGTGAATACTCGTTCAAAAATGAAATAGAATAAAATACAATTTATAAATATTAAATATTATTTTATTATTTATCTTATAATCTACCATGATTATTGTACAGTGAATCCATGAATAGTACATTATACTAATATGATTTCAATTAGTTACCATGTCAACAAGATGATCTAGTGCCAGTATTCAATTATGGTTTAAGAAGAAGAAGAAGAAGAGAAGCTTTTATGAGGAGAATAGATCCATTTTGTTTACGTTTTCCCATTACATTAAAACAGATGCATTTCGAAACCTCTTTAAATTTTCTTTCTTTTATCTTCACCTTTTTCGTCATCGTTGCTGTTGTTGTTGTTGTTTTTGTTCTTGGAAAAGATGCTTGAATATTTAGATGTATTTATGTAAGTATATAAGTATATTAATGTTTATATCATTAAACATTGCAAATACATGTTTTCATTTTGATAATTCAATATTGTTTACTCAGTTATTAAATGTTACTGATGAAGTGAAAATTCAGTCAGTCAGTCAGTCAGTCAGCTACAACGTAGGACATGTATGCATCGGTCCAAGTTTCCATACCTCATTAACACAACAAGATGAACACCGGATTCATAAAAGTAGTTAATTCGGTTGTGGTAATATATAAAAGAAAGATTGCAATAAGGATATAGTACAGGAAGAAAGAATTAGTTAGTAGAAAGAAAGATATGAAGTGATTTTAATCTCTTAGTTTAAGGGAAGACAGAGAGTGTATATACCTACGTACGCCATTGTGATCAATTCTGAGCCATGTCACCAAGAGTCTGTAGTGTGGCTTCGAGTTACAATTGACTATGATCACCACTACAGGAAGGTTGTGTACCAAATATCAGAAGGTAATTGAAAGTTGTGGCGAAGTATATTTATTGGTGATCTCGTCTTATCGAAATAATACCGAGATTGTACCAAAGGAGTACAAGCGAATTTACTGAGAAAACGTAAGTTCGTGCAAGTTCACAATCAACAGAACGAAAAATAGAAGAATAATGGATATCTTTAGTACAGTTAAACAAACAAGTACAGTAAAACAATCACTGGTGCAATTGGTTATAATAATAATTGTTTCCATTAAACCAATCGCGTTCTCTTGATAAAAGTAGATCACTACAAGTCTCCAACCATTGGTTGCGATAGTCATGCGGAACCCAACCAAGTAGTCCGCATTTACCAACATAGCTCAGACTAGAGGTTAGTGACTTCAAGCATTGATGCCACGTTTTGGTTTGGCTGCCCCCTAACTTTCTTCCATCCATCTCCAACACTAGTCAACATTGTACGTCGTGGTAATCTGTTTTCAGTCATACATAACACGTGGCCCAACCATCTCAGTAGACGAACATTCACAACGTCAATAACTGATTTACCATCATCCCCTAATACCCTGAGTCCAACCTCACTATTACTTACCCAGTGATTCCAGCAGTTGCGAGAAATATTTCAAAGGCATCTGTAGCCAACTACTAGTTGCTTACGAGTATCTCCTACTCTAATGGCCACGTTTTGAAACCGTAAAGTAGAACAGAACGAACTGTCGAGCGGTGAAAAATCATAACTTCTTCAATGTCATCAATGAGATTAGTTATCGTTTGTTTAGATTAACGACTTTAATGATCAGAGATTAGATCATTCATTGTATATCAGCTGAAGTTGTCATAACAAAGTATTATGAAGAGATGAATTTCAAATGAGTTTAAAATAGGTTTGTAACAATTACAGTAAAATGACTAATCATTTTAAATATGGAAAGATTTGTATACAAGAATAACGATATTCAAAGCTGGAAGAACGAAAAAGGGTGAATAGGTTAGAGGCATTATAAATCACTCTCAGTCATGTCACTAACCACTGATCGCAGTTCTCTTGTTGACCCAAAACAGATAGTCTGCTTCTAACATTATGACTAAGATTTCTAATATGTGACCATATTGACTGAAGAAACATGTTAGCTTACTGACCATAGTTTTCTTGTAGCTTACTTCAATACTAAAAATATATCACTTGTCCAGGCGATGATGCTTGAGTATACGTAACACATTTAAATTGATGAATATTCAAAACATGGTCGACGATTTGAAAACGCGTGCAGTGTTTCAAATATATTTATGTTCGAAGTACTGAGGCGTACGCATATTTAATGCGACCCTATGTTGTCTATGGCACGAGGCTGAAACGTGAAGAACTACCACAATCATCATCAAACAAGTACAAGTATTTATAGACTGTTGTCTACTCAAGATACTGAATATCCGTTGGCTGGATGCCATCAGTAACAGCCTACTGTGGGAGAAGACAAATCAGTTTCAAGCTGAGGAGGAAATTAGGAAAAGATGTTGGAAGTTGATAGAATATACACTCTGGAATTCATCAAACTGCATCACGAAGCAAGCCCTAACTGAAATCCCGATAGGAAACGGAAAACAGGAAGACCGATGAGCACACTACGTCGGGAATTGGAAGCAGAAATTCAAAGGATGAATAACAACTGGAAGGAACTGGGAATGATTGCCCAGGACAGGGTTGGATGGAGAGTGCAGGTGGATGGCTTATGCTTCTTCAGAAGGGGAAACAGGCGTAAGTAAGTATGTCGTCTACAAACACGTCAACATTAGATGAATTTATTCAAATAACATTTTTTCCTGTTGGACAGAACTCTCCACTGTATACAGTTTGAGCAAACGTTGATTAAAATCTTGAATGTTTAGTATGAATGTAGATCAGATAGGCATTAAGAATAAAATCAGTTGTTTTAGTTTCCCCAAGACAGAAAACCAGTCAAGTAGATTCGCCTAATGCCTTAACTAAGCAACAGAAATAAAGATACTATGAGTAAACTTAGTAATAGCTGTTCACGTAAACTATTCAAAAAAGATTTTCAGTTCTGGAATACACAAACACTACAGTTTTATTTATTTGTTAATTTATTTTAACACATAGACATTGGTACAAGGAGGCAATAAATAGATATGCGCCACACAAACCTCATTCGATATGTGTGAGGGTTGTGATACTACTCGGGTGCCCAAACCGAAGCAGGTGGTTTACTTAGGGGGCCACACCCGAGCCTTCGACCTGAAGGTCTGATCCACAAGGCAGTGGAGCATCGTAAGGAGATGCAGTCCCATGGAAACCGATGACCAACTATTGGTTCATACGCCATTTGTTCCCTCAGGATACTGGTGCCAGACCATGTGCACTATTGGTTTGGAATCAGGTTAAAGTGCTGGACATTCGCTTTTCGTTCTCTCATTTTCGTAAACAACACCCGTGGTGTGAGAAGGCAGTGAGTAGGACTTCCCTGGAAGAGGCTATATACGCGTGGCCATGTGAGAGCATTTGAAGAGGGAGAGCGGACTCTCCCCATTCTCAGCCGTACCAGGGCATTTGGGTGATACATAAGCTACTCCAAAATACTTAACAATCAATCTCCTTAAGTATGTCTTATAGCCTGTTATTGATTATCAGTATCAATACGAATTGATCTTTACGAACCAACGACACCAGACTAGAGAAATTCATCTATATTGTGATTTCACATATGGTGTTGGTGGTATGGTATAGGAAATATTTATCCTTCGCAAGTGATACGTAATGAAATCCAGTCAAAACTACGATTAGATGAATAATCTTTTCATCTTAAAGATGGCGAGGTGTAATATGTTTATTCTGTACCAGTGGTTCACCGTACATATAGGTCTCTACTTGTACAATCAGAAGTCATTATGTAATAGATCTCCACTTTTTACTAACAATATAGATGATCTTCTTATTAGCCTGCGTATGGTCAGATATGTTAAGAAAGGTTATTCATATGTTAGGTTACACGAAAAGCAAGTGTTGGATACGTTTATCATTTATAAAAGTAACAGGATGACTAACAAAAGAAAGAGGTGAGATCTACCAAGGGATCAAGTATTCAAGAACACTTAATAGTAAACGTGTAATCAAGTCAGTTTAGGCTTATTCAAGTTGAATCCAGAAAACTACTACTTATATTGTCATAAGTAGTATATACCATTGCATGATCTATCACTATAGTAATTCGTGCGTCAAGATGTGAATATAGAAGATTTATGCATTTGTAATATGAAGTAGTAAGGTTGAAATTGTTGTAACGGGCGGTGTCCGAAACCTTATACTGATACATAGTGTACTACACGCTAGCCCTCCAACTAACTACTGGAGTAAGAACCCAGGATCGAGCGAGACATTATATTGCAAAAATATTCATTCAAATATATATATATATAAATACCACTCTATCCTTAGGAAATTGACCAATTCCTTAGCCAATGAAATACACTTTTCCTTTAGGTCACTTCTGAGTGTCATAGATTTACTTTCTCATTAGGCTACTTCTGACTGTCTCAGCATATGAAAAATCGGATGTATGTGTAGACTGTATGAAAGATAAATAAAGTCAATTTTGGTGTTTGGATGATCATTCGAAGTTGTACAAATAGTTAGGAACTCGTCCATTAGAGCCAATTGATTACAAATGAACCGATCGGTGTATTCAGATTTCAGCCTTCCAACAAATTCAATGGTCAAAACTATTCTGCTGAGAAGACTGATGTGTAAATGGTGGACTTTTTTGTTTTAGATGAAGGAATGACTTTGGTTAAACAATCACTAAAAATTGGAAAACATTGGGCAACTGTTCCTTGCTGACATCGTACTGTTTGGTTGAAGTAGGGATTTATCTACAACACTAGTGGTTGAACTCTCAATGTTTATGTACAGTTCCGATTTCATAACCGTAAGACAACCAAGCTAACATCTAATTATTGATATCTCTTAACTTCAATCAATTTGTGATGTTTTAATGGCAAGAAGTAACAGAAGAGTATGTAAGTGTTGGGATATTCAGGAAAATATCCCAAGAATTATCCTGTTAAGCCGAATGTTATCCTTGGACATGAAATGGTATCATCTTATTGGTCAATATTTGTTTAACGTGTCATTTTCCTACTGGCCATTATTGTACAATGTTATTTTCT